TAGACTTAGACCATTTCTACTCGATATATGTTGGAACCTCCCTTGTTTTCTCAATGGCTCTTTTGAAGTATAATCTAGGAGTTCTACATATTCTCCGAGTACTCGTGACTGTTAAAAGGCTAAAGTTTTGTAATGGCAAATTATCAACTAAAACATATATACACTTCATTTTCTGTTTGTATCGGATATTGAAAATGTGTAGCTATAAAAACGGATACAAGTATCGTTTTAGAATATTACGAGTAATAAACAAAAGGGTAATACTGTCTATTTATGTAAACGTAGTTAGTTGTGGTTTGGTTGAAGTCTGTTTGGCAGTGTTGTTAGTGTTTCACCATGCTATCCAAATTTACTCGGTGTGTGGATGTGAAATAACAGTATTATTATCTCGTGGATCTGAATTGAATTTCGAAGGAAATACCGTCGAGTGTAATGTTTGTACAAAATGTGCATGATATATGGATAGAACTGTGTGACAAGTTCAAGCAAAGTAACAGACTTAAAATTTACAAGATTAGAAGAGAGATCATGATGCTTTCTCAAGCTCAAGACTCTATTGCTATGTATTTCACCAAACTCAAATCACTATGGGATGAACTTGCAAACTTCGCCCTCACTGTTCGTGTGCTGATCCCTCGCTGATTTTCCTCGCTGATACCTTGTTTTCTAGTAGTGATATAGGGTCTGGTTCAAACGAGAATGCTAACTATTTTAGAAAACAAAAAAAAGATCGTTAATGTACAAAATCATATATGATTCACATAATCATACATGATTCGGCCCGACGTTGCTTTGCGACTTAAATAACAGCAAAGTCGTCCGCTTCCATTTTTTAACGTTAATATAAAATCACATGTGATTTTGTACATTAACGACCATTTTCTTGTTTTCTTAAATAGTTAGATTTTTCGTTTGAAACTTTCCCCCTCTCCCTCTCTCTCTCTCTCTCTCTCTCTCTATATATATATATATGTATATAATTTTATAGAAATAATAATATTAGCACAGGTTAGCGGTTTAGGTTGGATTGAGTTAGGCTAACCCAATTTCAACCTTGCTAATTAGTGGTTTGACGGGTTGGGTTTAGTTGAGTTGTTAGTGGGTTAGGATTAATGGTTTTTATGGGCTGAACGTTTTATGTAGACCCCTACTGATCATCATTCATCACGTTGAACTCATGCATCTGTCTTTCAATGGAGTGAATGCCTCTCAAGCTCATCCTCTTCATCCACCTACGCCGGTATTCATCGGCCTTTATACTCCCTACAAAATACGGCTACCTCACGGTCAATGCCACCAACGGCTCAGCTATTTTCTATGCCTTTTATGAAGCCCAAAATCCCAATAACACTTCTCTTTCTCAACCAGAAATAAACGTGTATATATTTTAGGGTTTGTAAAACTGTTCAAATGATGTTAGTCTATATTTAATCATCTGTACAATTTCTTCCAACAAAATGGTGTAAAAACTTTGTATTTCTTTTTTATTTTCTTGAATTATATATATATATATATATATATATATATATATATATATATACTAGAAGGGTACCCGCTTAATACATCGAAATACATATTGATTTTAATGTTTTGTTTTATTATCTGTCTCCATCAATGTTATAATACAGTTTTATGTGTTTTTGAGAAAACGATAATGTTTTTATTTTTGAATTAAATATACATTTTAAGATATCATTAAAATTTGAAAAAATTATATTGAAATTAGTATCAAATTAATTATTTAAAAGCTTTCGTT